TTGTGGTATCGGAGGCTGCCGGCCCGGTCCATCTCAACCTACTCTTAGCTGAGGAGAGAGTTCATCGCCCAATTCTCTTCCCGACATTATGACAAAAAGACAGCGACTCATCTCGCCACCATCAGACAGAAGGAAGGAGAGACGCTAAGGGAGTATGTCACAAGGTTCGAGGAGGAACAGTTGAAGGTCGCGCACTGTTCCGACGACTCGGCCATGTGCTACTTTCTCACCGGCCTGGCCGACGAGGCCCTCACTGTGAAGCTTGGAGAGGAGGCTCCAGCTACCTTCGCCAAAGTATTACAGAAGGCGAAGAAAGTCATTGACGGGCAAGAGCTCCTCCGAACCAAAACTGGTCGACTAGAGAGAATGATCGACCAGGGCAAAAGTGGAAAAGATAAAGGGAAGGTAGATTCCAAGTCCAAGGACAGGGGACCTTCCTCCAACAGCCGAGCAGAGTATCGAAGGGCGGAAAATGGTCCCAGCCGCAACCGACTTTACGAGCGTTACACTCCGACCACCATTCCGATCTCTGAGATCCTTACGAACATCGAGGAGTCTGGAATAGAAAAACTCCTCAAGCGACCTGAGAAGCTTAGAGGAGACCCGGAGAGGCGCAACAAGGACAAATATTGCCGTTTCCATCGGGAACACGGTCATAATACGTCAAACTGTTGGGAATTGAAGCACCAAATTGAGGACCTCATTCAAGACGGCTACTTCAAGGAATTTGTGGGGAAGCCAAGGTCCAGCTTGGCAGAGAAGAAGGAAGAGAGGAGGCATTCAAAGACGTCGTCTTGGCGCGTTGACCGACCTGCGGTCATCAACACCATTTTCGGAGGACCAAGCGGGGGCCAATCCGGACCTAAGAGAAAGGAACTAGCTCGTGCAGCCAGGTGCGAGGTGTGCATCATCAGGGGCAGAGACCGACCTGCCCTATTACCTTTGACGATACAGACCTGGAGAAGGTACATTTGCCCCACAATGACGCACTTGTAATCACTCCCTTGATTGACCATGTTGTGGTCAGAAGGGTGCTAATAGATGGGGGCGCATCTGCCAACATCCTGTCCCTTCCAACATATCTCGCCCTAGGATGGACCCGGACACAATTAAAGAAGAGCCCGACACCGCTAGTTGGGTTCTCTGGAGAGTCGGTCTCCCCAGAGGGTTGTATTGACTTGCCGGTCAC